ACATAAATTTCCCCAATTACTTAAGTATTCAAAACAAAAAAGAAAGAAAGAAAGAAAACATATTTTTTTTTTCGTATATTGGCCAGGTTTTCAAAGTACTCCTCTGTGGGCCGGTTTGGTGCCATTCTAAGAAAATCGTAAAACAATCAAGAAAACGATAATCTTCATAGCTTTCCTATGCCAGGCCGTTTGTTTTTCGGTCATTTCTTAAAAACGGTAAAAGACATCACTCTAACATTTTAACCAGTTAAAGAAAAGAAGTTAATGTTCATTAATTAAAATGGGTTTTTCTGGTTTTGCTCCACCATGAGAATTTTTGTTGGTAGTATTTTTAGATTATATTTTTTAGGACTGCTGAGATAATTTTATTTCATTTCAATGCGTGATGACCGGGATATTCTGAAAACTTCATCCTGAAATTCCCGAAAATTTAACTACCCGGAATAATAAGATTTATTTTCGTTCATAGTAACATTAACTCAAGCTGTAGGCAAACTTTCAAAAATTGTGTGACCCTTCGGCGCATTTTGTCCGATATTAAAAAAGTAATCCCTATAACTTTTGCAATTGTTACTTTTGATTACACGAAAAAGTTATGAGAATTTTGGTGCCCTGAGACCGTTATATGCAAGCGGCTCTTATGACATGAGAATCAGTTAAAAGAAAAGATAAATTAAATGCAATCAAACACACTTTTCTTAGAGATCCGTATGTTTCGTGCAAGGAAATTTCTATAAATTTATAGTTTTCTCATTAATATGTACCTTCTAATACCAGACCATGTGTGTATTTAATAAAATCTACCTTTAACAAATGTTTATCCAGGAGCCATTTTATATCCAATTTCATTCTATTTTTAAAAAATCTCTCTTAAATGACTTCATATATCTAGAATAATTCATAAGATTATGAAAACCATAGTCCAGGGTGGCCAGCGAACCGGGAAAACCGGGAATACCGGGAAGTATCCGGGAATTTGAAAAGTAACCGGGAAAACCGGGAAAAACCCGGGAATTCGATGAGAGAACCGGGAAAAATAAATTAATCACACCATAGGATTACATTTTCACACCAGAAATTCAGAATAAACCATTAAAACAGAGTGATTTTTTACCACATGAATATCTTTCTCTATTTGCTGCATAATTTTCTTCAGATTCCCGCCGTATTGTTCTTAGAATTTAATCACTCAGCAATATTTCAAATTGATTTTTGCGAATCAATTTCAGATGTAAAGTCCATGGGTCTTAAAACAAAATATTGAAGATGCTGCACATAAGAAACAAATATTTGTAAAAACGATTTCAGAATCATTCTGAAATTCTGCTCGGAACTTCTCCTTCGAAAACTATGTGGGATCCTCCTCAATAGTTTTTTTTGAAATCAACTCTTTGAATACTTTTTAATTTTACTGAAAATTCCAGGGTTTGTCCGCAAGATTCTATCGATTGTTCTGTAATTTGTTTTAACTCTTAAAATACTTCCAAGTCTCAGAGCCTTGACAATTATGACTGCACGACTATTTAGTTTTTTTTTCTAATCTGTGAATTTTTAAACTTTCACATTTTTTACTCCAAATCTTGCATCACGAAGATCCCAAATTTTGAAGAAAAGTTCTATTTTCAAACCCACACAAATTTTAAAGCCCAATAATCTTGGGAATCTATCTTATTAGTAAATAATCTTTCATTGAATACACAGCTTCTTTATCCGATATCACTATCAATTTGCTCTAATTCTCATTTGTACCAAGTTCATTTTTCTGAAACATTTTTTTAATTAAATCTCTTATTCTTCACAATTCATCTATTATTTAACCTATTTATCCAGATAGTATTTGGCCCAGTGACCTTAATCCCTGTTACGCAATGAATTCTAGGGCTTTGAAATCATAAGATGTATCGATCATAAAAAGTGGTAGAATTCGATTTATCAAAGTATCTCGAAAGATCAATAAATTGTTTTGAATAAAGGGTGTCCACGATGAAATTGCCACACTATGAAATTGCTCTAACTTTTTAACCGTTGGGTAGAATTTAATGAAAATTTGGGTGGATTTAGTTCATAGTGCATTATTTACATCCTGCAAGCTTTAAAGTCCTGTGATCAAAACTCGCGGAAATGGAGTCGAAAGAACAGCTCGTGCGTGATAAAATCTTGCGCATTCATCACGAGAACAAGGATCTCTCGCATCGTTCCATCGCTAAAACGTTGGGAATCGCGAATTCGACGGTGTCGCGAGTGATTAAGTGGTTCGAGGAACGGTTGACCACCGATCGGAAGCCCAGAAGTGAAGGAAAAAAATCACAACCGCGTAGTTGGGGCCTTCAACCGAAATCCGAACGCCTCCGTTAGGGATGTGGCTAAGAAGCTGCACCTAAGCCGAAGTTTTGTCCAGAAGGCCAAAACTAAGGCTGGGTTTCGAACGTTCAAGGTACAAAAGGCCCCTAATCGCGACGAGAAGCAGAACAAGTCCGCCAAAACCCGTGCCAGGAAGTTGTACCTCAACATGCTGACGAAAGTTGAATGCTGCATCATGGACGACGAAACATATGTGAAGGCCGACTTCAAACAGATCCCCGGCAACCTGTTTTTCACGGCCAAGGATAAGTTCAGCGTTCCGGAGCATGTCCGCACTCAGAAGATGTCCAAATTTGCGAAGAAATTCCTGGTTTGGCAAGCCATCTGCACGTGCGGGAAGCGGAGTGCACCTTTCGTGACCCAGGACACGATGAACGGACAGGTGTACATAAAAGAGTGCCTCCAGAAGCGGCTGCTTCCTCTCCTGAAGGCCCACAACGTCCCAACAATCTTCTGGCCGGATTTGGCCTCATGCCACTACTCCAAGGACGTGCTGAAGTGGTATGCGGACAATAAGGTCAATTTCGTGCCGAAAATGTTCAAACCTCCCAACACTCCGGAGCTCCGCCCCATCGAGAAGTACTGGGCGATTATGAAGCAGCACCTTCTTAAACGACCTAAGGTAGTGAAGACAGTCGAGGAACTGAAGAAAGTATGGGTTTACATGCAAAAAACGGTTGATTCACAGGTCGTGCAGAATCTTATGGCCGGGGTTAAGGCCAAGGTGCGGGCATTTGCGTATGGACTGTAAATAAAATACGAGTAAAATGGTAAAATGAAGTTTAATAGTTATTTCTCAATCCCTGAAAATTTGATGGCAATCGGATGAAAACTCGAATTTTGCGATTCAATTTTGTGTGTGGCAATTTCATCGTGGACACCCTTTACATTAAGTGACTCATAGAGTTGATTTTTTCCTATAGCTTTATACCCCGTACAGACTATGGCTTATATCATGTAATATAGGCTTTCTTGCAATGAGCACTCATACATCTAGTTTTCACTGCAAATCCTATGCATTACAGCCTATTTTACATGATATAAGCCATAGTCTGTACGGGGTATTAGAAAACACTTTCTGTAATTTGGCTTTCATTTTTCCCACAAATAACCACTGAAAATTTACAGTTGGCCACGTTTTAAAAAAATGTGTACAATTTAGTTTTTTGTTGAATATCAACAACCGGGAAATTTTAAAGATTTGAACCGGGAAAACCGGGAAAAAAACCGGGAATTTCAAAATGAAAAATCACTGGCCACCCTGATAGTCGAAAGAAGTACACTGTTTTATTGGGGTGTTAAAATCTTGTTCAAAATTACTTTTAAAACTTTTGTAAAGTTTTTTCAGTTGCAGAGTTTATAATGGGTTTGAAGATTTTCAAAAACTGATGAAGATACATTTTTTTTGCATAGTTACATGAGTTCATGAAAAATATTTTCTGAATATCTTAAACTTAAAGCAACTCTTATACCGTGGACCCCCGTTAATCTGAACAGGGTACATTTTTAATTTGAACTTCTAGTAGCCCTATGATAATAAAAAGCGAGTTTCTGGTAGCCTTATTTGCTGTTTTGTTTTTATTCTGCGTTTCGTTTCGCATCGTTCCATTTCGCTTTACTCCATTTCATTGTGCTGAATGACGTTTGAGCATTTTTTAGTTTGCATGGCGTGCAGATTAACGGGGCTCAAATTAAAAACGGTCAGATTATAGGGGGTCCACGGTATACCAATAATTTTTATTTTTTTTTACCAGTGAAAGCTGTTTCATTGCTTTCTCAGATGCTTGTATTATCGATCACCTAATCAATGCTTAATCATAATATTTAGTTGGCAGAAAAGGAAAAGTTCGGAACGGAAATTGTCATGCAAGGTAGAAAGCACTACTCGTCAGCCATTCACCTAGAAAAACTACTGGTTAAAGTTCGAACCATATACTCTATCCTACAGGAGGGAAAATCATAAACAACAATCGGAAACTAAACGCGTTCTAAACTACTTTTATCAACTTTGTTAACTTTTCAAACAACAACTCAATCGAATTGAATCCAGAACAATCAGGCAGGCTGCAGCAAGGCAAAAGTTAGAACATCTCTTCTCTCGGACCCAGTCGTTTCTGTGTTGGGATCAGTCAATGCAGTGAGTGTTTTGTTACCGTTTACTTCCTGCTGGTGTTGTTGGTGGTGCTTGTGGTGCTGGTGGTGGTGTATGGAATAGTTTGATTCCCACATTCGCCTCCACAAAAAAAGACAATCGCTGACACTGTAGAGCGCTCAAATGTCGCTGCTATAAGTTGGTTTCCGAGTGGATTTGTTATTGGTATGTGATTTTCTAGGTGACCCATCGAACAAGGTACAGAGGATCGTAGGAAATGAACAGGGAGGCCTGCGTTGTGGGGGGTTGGTTTTTGAGGTATCGATGAAAATGATGATGTGCTGGGTTTGTTCAGTGATGATGAGAGCCAGCCAAATGTTGAGGTCCAAAACCGAGGTGGATGGCCGAGCCGAGAAATGGGAGTAGGGAGGACGAGATGGCAAATGGTTTTCCGTCAATTTTCACCAGAATGTTGTGATGTGATGGATTGGTGTTTTTGGCCGACCGCTCTTTAGGCGGAGCCCGAATGAAAGTTGACGATCATTACCTATCATTGATCTGGCCGGTACCGCGTTCCACTCCAGCCAGAATGTGATGAACGATGACGTCACCAGTATGATGCCGGGTATGAACACGGTCGTGAAATAGAACGCTCGATCTCTTGTAAATATTAAATCCACTTTCAGACAACTGTAATTTCCTACATATAGTGATTGTTTATGTTTTTATATTATCGTATTCATAGGGAGAAAGTAAGGCGATTAAACTTTATTGATTTCAAAAGATTCCTCTGTATTCTCTAACGAAAGAAAGTAGAAAACAAACCCAAAACTTGAGAAAAACGAAAAAAAGGCATAATTGAACTGGTTAAATTCGCATCTAATAGATATATGATCAAAAAGTTTAGTAGCCAAAGTAGGGTGTTGTTGTTGGTAGATGGGCTAGAAATAAAACTTAAACTACTTCACAAAAAAAAAACCTAACTAAATCGAAAACAACTTATCGTTTAGCTAAAGCAAATTGAGCTCCAATAGTGTGATCGTGTTGTACTTGTTGAACTGAGAGATACAAGGTTTGAGAGAGTTGTGGAGAAATAGTATTGTGCAATGGTGAAGAAAATCGATGTATTTGGCTGTTGTTGTTGTCATTCACTTTGTGGAATGGTATAGCCTTACTGTAACAACCTTCATTAATAAAGAACTACTCTAATTGAAAATGAACCAAGTGTATACAGTGTGAGTTAGTGGTGTTCTCATGGGTAAGTGAAATGAAAAATGCATCCGCGGCAGAACGCGTGACAGTTGGAGGTGCTGTTGGTGAAGGGAAGAAATCGAAAATCAGTGAATTTAGGTCTTGTCTTTCATATAAAAGTTTCTTTTTCTCTCGATAGTTGTTAAAGTAGCATACCACTACAGAACTTCAACTAGCAATTATTGCATTGATGTGTCACACTACTAAAACACACAAGAAGAGTACACAAATTGAAAAAAAATATAAAGAACCTAAGAAACAGAAAACTATAAAACCAAATGTGCCAACAGAAATTGAATAAACGATAAACGTACTTTGTATGACATGGGCATGAGGGGGAATGGATTGCAATAAAACCTGTGCGACACCAACATTCCGTGTCAAGTGTCGATGAAAATACAATCGGGGCGATAAGAAGTTAGTTCGTGAGTAGGTGGAATTGTTCGCAAACAGTTTTGAATTGTGGCAACGTTTCGTGCGAGCTGGAGCATCGACTAGCGTAAGTGTCTGGAGTGCACTTTAGTTACAAAATCGATTGTTTACAGAAGGTGTTGCCGAAAAACATCATTTACTAAATCTGGATATTCTCCAATTCATCTTGATGGTACTAGATTCACATGGTGTAAACAAAAATGTGATTGAATATTAATATGGGATGACAACCTGGACGGTGCATTAAACACAAACGATTACCAGCTGAAATATGGACACAGCTTGGTGATGTAGTCTGAGCATTGTTGTCAATCCGCAACGCCATGAACACTGGCGCGGTAACCATATCATTGCGATAGAGGAAGCGCTCTGCCATCTCGAGTGTCTTTTATGCATGTTAGGGGTGGTTTCAAAACGACATCTGTTCTCCATGTTCAGGAGTGGCTGGTTATCGTCCTGGTACTAGAGTGAGATTCTACAGAGAGCTGAGCTTGATTTTCCTTTAGCTAGACCAGCGGATGTCAACATATTACATAATTTTTAAAATGTGTACAGTGTCGTAAGTAGTTTAGTTAATTTGTTTCCTTGTACTTCAAGATAAGGGTGTTTTGAAACAACGTCAGCCATCAATAATGTTCAGTACTATACCAATAAATTTTGTATAATAATAAAATAATCCAATAAGCCATGATTTGAGAAGTTTTTGTATACATCATGATAAGTTAACTCTTTTTGAACTTTTTGTAGAATAAATCATCAAAGCATTGTGTACTTTTGTCCGGTACTGTAAAGTAGTATCTTGGTAATTAATACTACAATAAACGACTAAAATTTGAATAGTGTGAATCTATTTAAAAGGGATTAAAGATATTAATTTGCACATATCAATACTCAATCTAATAGGTTTATAAAAGCTTTGGAAATTTACACTGATGTTTCGAAAGTAATTATATCCTTTATCATGTATGAAGTACATCTTCCAAAATACAGCTTATCCTTGACATAACATAGTTGCCCTTGTTCACTTATATCGCAAATGTTCGATGATGTTGTGCTTTTTATCCGTTTTTTTATCATCCCATCCCTTTTCTTAAAATATCAACATTGAAAAAAGATGGCACAATTTTTGAAGATTTTTTGCTAAGAAGTACGTCAATCGAAAAAGGTTGAGAATCGCTTATGCTAGACAGAGGGTTGTTGCAGATCCTACAAACTAGCGTTAATAATCAAAAGTACAGAAAACAAATACGGATTTTAACAAACGACATATACCCAAGCATCACAAACGCAACTCAACTAACATTTTACCAGGTCCCAATTGGTGATTTGACACTTCGAGAACACTTGTGGAGTACATGGGTACTGAAGCGATACTGCGATGTTCAAATGCTGGTCATTAGTTAAGTATTTCATCCAGCCAAATGACTTCTAAAACGGATTACGTTGTCCAGAATTGAAAAGTTCTCCTGTGAGGAAAAACCTATCAAAATTATTCTAAAATTGAATGTCTTTGAAAGTTTGAATTTTTCTGCATATTCAATTGAGATTCCAGAATCGAGTATAAAAGTCCTTTGAATTTCATCTATCATCACACCTAAAAATACGCTTAAGAAAAATTCCAAGTTTTCTTGCATATTCGGAAGGTTGTGTTGCCTTTTTCGTGATGGGTCGTAAATTGAAGAGAAAATGTATTATGAACTATTGTAAATTTGCTTTAAATTGATGCCGGTTTTGTTTTTAAATATTTGTCAATCATACAATCATGAACATCCACATAAATTATGATTATAAATCTTGAATCCAAGATCTGCGGATTAAACTACAACATATCAGATTCTGTGAGCGGAACAGCTTTTGAAAATAGCTCTTATTTTGAATCGTGGAAGCCATTCCAGTCTGTTTGCTAAATAGTTGTCCACTAGATTACTGATAAATCAGTTGTCAGTTTTTCATTTAAAAATTGATCATTTTAAACTCTTTAATGTGCTACTCCAATGTGAAGTTATTTTTTTTTTTATCCACTTTCAGGTGGCTTATGTTTGTTTTAAATTATGTTTCTGTTATTTTCAATTTGTTTGAGAAGGTCGAATCAAAAATAAATTTTTCTCTCGCTACTTTGCCTGGAACTGATCCCATGACAAATATTTAGGCGGTTTGCATGAACTATTTAAAATTTGACGATATTGTGTTCCCTTGAGCCTATGAGCTAATGTCCTTACATGTTACGTGCTTTAAGGTTTAAATTGTGATTTAAATCACGATTTTGGTCCAACCTATGTGTGTGGAATTGTCGTTCAAAGAACATTTTTAGAAAATAACTCAAAGAACATTTGCCTGTTGTCGGTTTGCGCATTTCGGTGATGATTCTAAAACTTAGGTGGTGTTTTCAGAACTTGGAGCATCTCCGTGAAACAAGTTCGCTGATCTCATACACGTCTGTAGATCGGTACGGCGTCATAATGAGAGTGGCATCTTAAAAGCATGACGTGTTGGAGCAAAAATTCTTCCTAGACTTATGAAAAATGTACTCGCCAAAAATTTATCAATACCATCAAGTCCCTTTATTTTTGAATAATGAATCACTAGTGAAAATTGCACAAACGTCCAACTGTTGCAATAGTGATCAAAATTATCACCGATTGCCTGCAAACAACGCATTCTCTAACACAGTTTTCAAAATCTAATTCGATCTTGTCTCCCTGAACGGTGCTTATTCAATCACCGTGTGTGGTGGGTGGTGGTGTCCGGTCGGTCGTCAGCAGCAGCAGCAGCAGTGCTTGTACCTACATAATGAAAGGCTGCCCGAAAGCAGTGAGCTGCAGCTCACTTGAGCGCCCATTCACTGAAGAAGGAGGAAGAAGCCTCACCGCTACTAATCGGGATCCATCTTCGTGAGTCGCTGTGGGCCTCGTTCAAAAAAAAAAAAAAAAAAACATACGGCTCGCCAGCCTCATCCGTGTTGAACACTCTTACAGCTCAGCATTACTCAACCATCACGACAAAACGGTTCTTTTCAGGACCACCATAAATTATTGTTGTTTAAGAGTTAATTTTCATTGAACGTTCGCTTGCCTTGCTACCAGTTACATCATCCCCAAATCTCTTTGATTATGTACCCAGCAACCAAATGGTTGTGGTCAAAAGCGTAACAGTATAGGAGTGGTACATACAAATTCTCACAATGGCCGAATACCACATGGCCATGTCAAATAACCAGAAACACTTCGTAAGGTTTTCTCCAGGACGCTAGAAAAAGCATAAAAGTCTCGAATGTATATGATTGATCGTGAATATCACGCGATTGGAAACATTTTTTTCCTCCAATCAATTTTCGTTTTTTTATTATCTATTGAATAAACCAAAAGTTCCGTGCGTTTTGTGCATGTAAATGCGCCATTTTTACATCAGAAAACGAGGTTTCCCTAACGCAGTCGCCGAATATTGATACCTAGCACTGAACATGCCAGACCGTACTTATCTTAATGCTTTTGATACTAATTTTAAGCTCCTCCTATTAATAGAATTATGCAAAAAAAAAATCTTGCCTAATTCTCTTAATAGAAGGGGCTTACAATTTGCATTCAAAAGCATACACGTAGGTACCGTCCGGTAGGCCCACATTATGTGATTTCCACACCACTATCATTGTTCCAAACTGGCTTCCAAGCTTCCAACACATCGGTCCTTTTCAGGATCACAAATGACTGATAAAAGAGTTAACTAAAGAGCTTGTATCCAAGATTATCGTCCAGGATTGGCTTGTACTACATTGACATCGATACAGCACCTCACAAACAGAACTCTCTAATTGCTTCTGAATTTCAACCTATCGAACTTTTTCACTGATAACGAGTTAAGAAATCAATTTAATATATACTATACTTTTACTGTGACATCAAAACTATCTTTCGTAATCCTACGTCTAATCTACGGTCGTGTCTTGAATACAACCTCTTACTTTTTTTTCCGAACTCACACAAACTTTATGCTAATGAAAATGTAAAGCTTCGGAGCTTA